CTCTAGGATCTGAGGAAGAATTGCCACCTTCTTGCTTTCATATATCTTGCTTTCTTCTTCTAGCCCCATCCAAAAGTTTTTATTTTTTAAGTTTAAATCTCTCCCTTCCTCTTTTTTTGAGATATAATTCATGTACCATAAAATTCACTTCTTTAGTGTACAATTCAGTGGTTTTTAGTATAGTGTTATATCAAGTATTTTAGTAACAAGGTTGTGCAACTATCACAACTATCTATTGCTGGAACATTTTCATTACTCCTCCAAAAAACTTCACACCCATTAGCAGTCACTTCCCATCTCCAGTCCTTGGCAACCAATATACTTTCTGTCTCTATGAATGTGCCTTTTCTAGACATCTCAAATAAATGGCATCATGCAGTATATAGCCTTTTGTGGTTCCTTTCACTTTAGGGTAATATTTCCAGGGTTCATCCATATTATAGCATGTATCATTACATTCCTTTTTATGGCCGAATAATATTCCATTGTACGGCTATAGTACACTTTATTTATTCATTCATCAATTGATGGACATTGGGTTTGTTTCTACTTTTTAGCTCTTATGAATAATCCTGCTATAAACATTGACGTAAAAGTTTTTGTGTGAACGCACTTTCAAATTCTCTTGGGTATACACACCCAGGAGCGAAACTGCAATTTAAGCATCTCTTGATATCGAAATCTATTCTGTTTCCGAGTTCAAATAGCCTGAGATATCTCTCACAATGCAAACAGCTTTATACTAACCTATCCACCCCATCTTTACTCAAAACACCTGCAGTCTTCAGAGTCTACATCAATGATAACTTCTTTCCAGTTAAACTGAGGGCAAGGATCAGCTCTCATATTTCAGATCATATAGTAGGTATTTAATACACACTCATTGACATATTGACACCGTAAGATGCCCACAAATGAGAAAATGATGACTTATTCACTCTTTCATTTGGCAGATATTTGAGTATTGTATGCTGTTCACTGTGCTTAATGGTGAGCATAAATATTAGATAAAACTTACTGATTAGTTTCACTTTATCCCAAGTGCTAGTTCAACTCCAGAAATATTTACTACTTATGATGTGAACTGCATTGTGCCAGGTATGACAGGAGGCACAAATAAGAATAAGATAATCTAAAGCTTTTTATGTAAGTACATAAACTCTATATGCAATAACAATAACAAGCGACCATAAAAGCAGCACTGGATGTTAGATACCATAAGAAAAGTACAAAACGGAGGTTCAATGAACACAGCATATATGCTTGAGAGTGGAAAGAGAAGATAGACATCAGGAAATACTTCTTGAAGTTGAATGTAGTACTTAGGAAAGAGCCTCAAAGAAAGTGGCATTTGATTGATAGGGATTCCTAGGAAAAGAGAAAGTATTTCAGGCAGAGGATAGCTAGCATGAACAAAGAGAGAAAACCTGTATACAGTACAGAATTTTTTTCAATACAGTATAGAATTTTTTTTCAGAGACCAATAGTTATTCAGTTGTGGAAAGGTAAGTAATGAGATATGATCATAGTGTGAAGAATCTTGAATGGTAGGCTTAGCATTTAATAGGTTTAGAAGAATGGTTTGAAAGTCTTCCTATAACAATTCAAATTACCCTAGTGATTCCCTAACCTTTGCTTCAAATCTTTCTATTATGTATATTTTCTAAAGTGACCATGGAAATTAGTTATCTCTCCTTCCCACGAGAAACAAGAAATAAAATCTTGACAACTAAGTGAGCATGCTATAAGGGAATGATAGAATTTAAATAATCCTATACCTTATCCTATTCTTTTACTACTGTACCCTAAGACAGACGTGTGGGCAAGTCCCAATAGCTAGACTAGCAGAAGCAAGACTGCGGAGAAAATAATAGTATTCATTAAGCTCCTAACAATAGGTATTGGGCCTGGTGATTTACATATAATATCCTTGATCTACCCAACAACCATGTTTAGGTTTATGGTAACTAAGGCTCAGAGGTCAAGTAAATTGCTTAAGATTGCCAAGCTAGTAAGCTTAGTTAGCAAAATGTCAAGTTTTGAACCCAGGCCTGTCTGATGCTGTTATTTTCCCCATTGTTCACTTTAATTTGTTTTTGCCATAAAAAGAGTCTGGAACGGTAGAATCACAATGCATGTGTCAATGAAAAGGGCTGAATATTTAACGGATGGGCTTGTATGCTCTAGAAAAAAATTAGGTTGAAATATTCAAAACTGGGGTTAGAATGGCTTAGAGATCCAGATCAAGAGAGACCAAGTTTAGGGCTGCTTCTTGATCCAAACTGGACAATGATCATAATACCAAGGGAACAAAATTATAATTTTAATTTGGAAACAAGAGAATAATCTCCAAGAAACTATGAATATTTGTATTCATTGATATATTCCAAGTTCCTAGAACAGTGATTAGCACACAACAGGCATTCAATAAACTTTTGCTGAAATAATGAAAAGTCATGTAAGGGATAATGAATAGTCTTGAGGTTCTGAAATATAAAGACAGCACAGTAGTAAGTTTAAAACCATTTAAATGGTTAGCATACTCTCTTTAACACTCAACCTCATGACAAAAACTACTAAACAAAGAAAGCAACAGCTGTAAAACAGTATCAAGATTTTATAAAAAAATGGTAGACCAAAGAATGAAAAGATACTTTTGCATTATACATGGTATCTAGCACTTTGTGGTTAATCAAATTTCAGTGAGATGAAATTCAGAATTTTGATCTGTTTTAATATTTCAAACTGCTGTGAGCACTGTATCCAATGACAGCTTTTGGAAAAGAAAACGGTTATCTAATCTAAATACTTCACAAAATGGATAAGTTCTTTATTACAGATGGCAAATAATGGAATGAAAATCTCAAATTCTTGTTATTCAAGGATATAACAAGAGCACACTTAGAAAAGCATTTTTCTAATTTTGATGGTATACTTCTATTAGAACATGCAAAGAAAACTGCAAAAAAAATCCTTAAGAAAAGTAAAAGCCCTTCGGAGGCAGTAAGCCTCTCTACAGAAACACTTAAAGAGAATAAAAACAGGTTCCATGGACTTTTTTCACAACTTGTCTAATATTTCTTTTTTGATTGCACCAATGAGTAACTGCCACTTATCACAAACCATTTTCTCTCAGATATGTACTTTACATATTGCTTTCTTCCGAACAGACAGTTCTTCAGGCTGTTCAAGTCTTTCAGCTGCAGAAATTTTTATTTTTCTCATTGCATTTCTTCCATGAATAGCAAGAGAAACTAATTTAATAAATTCCTTTGCTTTCCAAAAGGCAATATTATTGTTTCTCAACCAATATTATATTAACTGATTTTTGTCTTTTCCACTTAGTTCCACAATCTTTATTTACTTCAGTAATTCCTAATACTATAGTTTAATAGTTTAGTTTGTCAGAATATCGTATTTTCTTTTATATTACGCTATAATGAAGACAGTGAACACCTTCTCTTTAATCAATTCTTGCTTGAGGTAGTCTACATGTCCCTAATCTTCTAACAGACAGTATTTTGTCTCGCCTTTTCAACTACTGCATAAATTTTGTAGTCTTTGAAAAGATGAACTCATTGATTTTAGGGTCTTAGACAGCTCTTTTGTGTCTACAGAAGGTTAAAACATATATTTTTTCCCTTTACTGTAACATTTTTTAAAACATATTTTTATTAAACTCTGAACCAAATAACTTTTTAAAAGAACTAAAATTAAAATAATTGCAAATTCTGAGGATAGATTATGTAACAATTCCAAAGAAAAAAACATAGGCTTTAGTCTCTTAAAAATCCATTAAAGACATTACAGTTCACTTGATAGATATTCTAAAATTAAAATTGTGGAGATTTCATAAGCTCCAAATAGATTGATTCCTTCACTACACACTCACCTAACCCAAATACCATGGTACTTGAAAACAGAAGCCAAGGAATCAAAATTGTTGAGTGTTTATTACTACTTTATACAGTTTCTTACAAAACAGAGAATGCAGGAAAAATAGAAATTCTTCTTCATCTTTTGTCCTTCGTGAGCCAATTCCCCCCCTCCCACTTAAAATCTGAGCTGAACCTCTTGATCCTTGTACGATGCTTTAAAAACACGAAGAAGATACCATTTTTGAATCGATATAAAATTAAACTACAGGGGAAAATGTACTAAAGTCTCTAACTTTCGCAAATGCTACATGTTACATGTAAGAATTTTTAAGACTCAGGAAGTTGTTCTTAGGCACAGGGCAGAATCTGTAGGCTAAAATGAAAGTCTAAGAAGTTTAAGATAGTAATCATATCAGTTAAAGTAATAAGTATTTGAGCACCTCAGTATGACACTTCCATTCTGGTAAGCTGAACATGCCTCATAATTTACATCATATATAGAGTCCTGTAATAAACCTACTTGAAAATAAGTACCTGTAGCGTGTCAAGGCAGAGAACACTGTATCTCACTCGGTGAAGGTTGGACTTGAGTAGGGGAACAGAGGAGGGCAATTATGAGTCACACAAGAAAGTATGTCGTCTTGCAGAAATGAATAGAGAATTTTAACAAGGGTTTCGAATTCTTTGAAGAATGCATTAACAAAATTTTTTCGGGGAGAAAATTTTCCATCTTACACATTGAAACAAAACACAAATTTTTACTGAAGGCGGGAGATTAGCACAAATTGGTGGAATAACCTTAACTGTTCTCATAAAACACAATGCCAAACCTTTAAAATACGGTCTGTTCAAATGGCACCAAGCTTCACGTTTTCAAGCCCTCGCGGCACAGGAAGTGGACTGGGCACCCCCAAACCATCACCCGCATAGGAAGTGAGTTGTTTCCCCGCCCCGTTCCCTCCAGGAAGCCTTCCTCCCCTCCCCCAACCGGAAGTAAGGTGCCCCCATTCAGTCGGCCTCAAATCGAGACAAACCAATTAAGAACAGCAAAAGAGCGACGGTCTTTAAAGGGTGAGGGGCACCTCCACTGTGGCCACCCCCCAGCTCGCCTTGCTTACTGACCTTCTGACGATACGCGTAGGCAGGGGCCTACGGCTAAAGAATGTCGCCTACACAGAAGACAATTCTTTAAGCCCCTCTCAATCGCATTCACTCTTCTCACTCCGTTGTCTCACAGGTTGACAAAAATTCCTCCGCAGTACTTTATTATGATGTCCTTTCTTTCTCTTTATCTAATCGCTTAACCATCTTCCCATAGGCAACTTCTCTTATTGCACTAACATTTAAAATTGTTTTGGCGAGCAGAAAAATGAAATATTACACCCGATACCTTCAGAAAAATGGAGGGATTATTTTGTTCAAAAGTGACGAAGGACTACGTGACTACGCAAGGCGAGACTCATTTTCGTGAAGGTTTCTGGGAGATGTAGTTTTTTTAATCGCTAAGGCCTGCAGAAAGTATTAGGACTTAAATTGGCAATTACTATATATATTGGAGTCCTTGAAAACACAAATATTCTATTCGTCGACAAGCTGACTTAAGGGGCTCCGGCACCAAATGGGCCAATATTTCATTTCCCTTTACCACTGGAACTTACTCGAACCGAAATTTTGCTTCAGGGCAGCCTAAGGTTCTGGTCGTCCCGCCCTCCATATTGGCCACACTCTCCTCAGCCAATAAGGGGCCTTCTAGGATTCATTCTATTAGGGTAGTAACGTGAGAGGAGGGCCCTCACGGTGGCTCCTTCTGCGGGACTGAGACGCGACAGGGTATTGGGTCGAGGGCCTGTGCGCGTGCGCGTTCCTTATGGAGCGCGACGCCGAGCGCGCGCGCGCGCGAAGAGGCAGTCGTGGGGCTGGGTGAAGGCTGGTAGGCTGGTGGGCTGGGCGGGCAGCCGGGAGCGCGCGGTGGACTCAGCAACAGCGAATAGTTGTTGTTAGTGTCAGTAGCTCCGCGGCGGTGGCCACGGCGACCGGAAAGAGGGCTGGAAGGCCGGTGATGGTGGTTGCTGCGGCGGCGTGTTCGCCTCTCAGGTAACGGGGGCAGGGCTGCCTGCGTCCTCTCCTTCCCCTTCTCTTCTCGCGCCGGCTTGTGGGACCAGGGTCCCGGTGAGTTGAGGGCGCTAACCCGAAGAAATCCGGGAAGGGCGCCGCGGAGTCTGGTTAGCGCCGCCGCGGGGGCTCGGGCGGCCATCCCGGCCCGGGCTCTCCGGCCTTGGCCGTCCCCGCGCCTCTGCGCCTCCGGGGCCCGCCGGCACTGCGCGCCTTCTCTCCCCCTCTCCTGCGTCGGCAGCAGCGGCCCCAGTAGCTCAGCGCCCTCCCCCCTTCCCGCCCCCGAGGAGAGAAAGTCGGGACCTGGCAGCTAGAGACGTCCCCGGGCGTGGCTGGGAGGATGGTGGGGAAAGTGAAGGCTGGAAGTGCTGGGAGCAAAGAGACTGGAGCAAGAAGGTCTCTTCTCGCTCCCTCTAGGTCTACACGAACATCCCGCTCCAGTCCCTGGAGTACCAGCTCAGCCTAGTCTGTGGCTCTTTGCCCGCTCTCTTCGGGCTGCGGCTTGTGAGCCCCCTAACGGGCTGGTTTGCTCGGCTGGTCAGTTTGTTTCTCCTTTGACTCGTCCATTCTTGCAACTTTTCTTACCTTCCGTGATGAGGACTCAACGTCTGAACCCCTTTCCCTATCCTGTCTCCGTCTCCTGCGCCACCCATCTGAGAGTTTGATTTCGTTTTTCGTCCTTTGACGACGTTAAAGTCTGCTGAGAGCAACAGGAAAGAGGAGCCCTCCCACCTTTAAATGTTACTTTCTTGTAACCCGTTGTTATTTTTAAGATCTAAGTTTAGGAATTGGAGAGCTGCGGAATGGAGTTTTATTGGAAGGCTGGCGTTAGTGACAAGTTAAAGAAAAACTAGGTTTCATCTTTATCGGCCTTGCTGTAGAAAACCTAATACATTTTTCTTTTGCTTCTGTTAAATGTGATGAGTATACATTGAATTAAATATTTGGAGACTTACGTAAAAGACTACTTTTTAGGTCATTGGATGACGTGTGTCAACAGCTTTTCACCTGAATTGGGATTGCCTTGAGGATTCTGTTTTGGGGACTACTTACTGATTTTTGTTTAGCCACAACGTCTTTTTTCCTTATAAATGAAATGATGTAGTACCGTGTGTAGTCGGAGAATGTATATTGCTCTCTGCAGTATGGAAGTGAAAAACATGAATTATCCACAAGGGTAAAACTTTCCATGAGCAGTCTCGCTTCTTGATGGCTTCTGTAATCTAAGAGCATTTTTAGATAGCTGTTTACTGACTACCTTAATTACTTTCTGAAGTGCCTGGCACTTCTCTTTGGTGACTCGTTTAGTAAACTGTAATGGCAGTTATAGTACATTTTCTTGGCTTCAAACATGGAGTTATAGCCTCAGCCCAGAGATTAACAGTTAACAAAGGAAGCAGAATTCATACCATTGCTAGTGAGTTTGCCTATGACCAATTCACAAACTATGTGAAAAAACAAACATCTTTCCATAGCTGTCAAGGGGAGGAGGAGGAAATATTTTATCATGTCTTTATTTTGGAGACTAACATGACTATGTTATGTGGGAAAAAATGTCAAATTATTGAAGGCTTTTTGATATGTAGTCCTTCTCTCCACCCTGTACCCTCCATTTAGGGGCTGACATTATGTTTGGCTGGGTTCCAGGATGGGAAGAAAAATGTTTTGGTGAAAGGAAAAGATAAGATTGTTTTGAACTACTATGATACTGTGACTGTTTATTTTACCTAGTGATACTACACAGAAACTTCCTCGATAATTTTCGTGCCCCATTAACATTCTGTCAGAATTTATTTTTAAACGTCTACCCTGAGGCCTGTAAAGAAATAATGTCACTTCATAACTGTTCCTGACAATCACATTGAAAAATTGTTCCTGGATGTGTTATATGTGTACTCATAAACATTTATCTTTGTACTTTTATGCTAATGTAAATATTTAAGTCTTAGAGCTTAAAAACTTTTATTTGCTTATTTGCATACATGTTTTTCAACCTCTAGCAGTGTCAATCATATTTGCCAAATAAGCATCAGCCATAAATTCATGCTCTGGCACATTTCATATAACTCTTCAAAATTGCTCCGTGGTGAAGCATCATGAGATTAGCATTCATGAAAGAGATTTGTTGTTTTTAACTTTAATGATGTGCCGTTTAAATGGAACAGGTGCTGAGCTCTAGCTGTTTGTGTCGAAGCTTGCCAAATCATACTCTTTTTGTTGGATGGGCATTTTAAGTAATTTAGAAACCAAGCTGTGGCCCCTGGCATGCCAAGTGTGAGTTCAGGGCTCCATATCACTGCTGCAAATACCTTTTTCACTGTAGGAGGCAAGCGTGCGTGATGAACTCTATTTTCTCATTACTGTTCTCTTTACTGTAATTTTTACTCCCTATCACCATCCCAGTCTTTTCATTACTAGAGAGCTCCTGAGAAAGTCTAGGCTCCTTCATTGATGATTTGTTTTCTTCGAAGAAATTCTTCGAAGTATCAGGCCAGGAATATAGATAGTTCACATCTGTTTGACAGATATTTTGAGTGCCTTTTAAGAGGTAGGCATGATGGTACGTCGAGTATATGTAGAATGATACCGCTTTTTTCAAGGAGTGTGCAGTTTAGGAGATGATAGCTGATAATCAACAATTACAATGTGGTATGCTATGTAACAGGTATAAGCAGATTCTTATGTATGGAAGCACAGAGAAGGAGGGATAGTTGACTAAGACCTGGGTAGGATCTTGGGGGCAGAGGAGTGTCCTGAAATATATCTTAGTGGGTTACCTAAGCTAATTTTCAAAAATAAGAATTATCTAGGTTCAGAAAGAGGGAAAAGACATTTATAGACCAGCACCATCCTGTAAAAATATAAAACAAGCCACAAATGTAAGTCATATATGTATTTAAAATTTTTCTAGTAACCACATTAAAAAAGGAAAATGAAATTAGTTTTAATACTATATTTTATTTAACTTGATATATCAAAAATATTTCAACATAATCTATAAAAACATTTTTATATTTGATATTTGCTTTACTTTTTATTTTATTTTTTTTTAGTTTTCAATTACAGTTGACATTCAATATTATTTTATATTAGTTTCAGATGTACAGCATAGTGTTTAGACAGTTAATTTATGAAGTCATCTCCCCAATTAGTCTAGTATCCTCCTGGCATTATACTTAGTTATTACATTATTATTGACTATATTTCCTATTGACTATTTCTTCTTGACTGTTTTGTAACTACCAATTTGTACTTCTTAATCTCTTAATTTTTTTCACCCAACCCTCTAATCCCCCTCCCATATGGCAACCATCAGTTTGTTCTCTGTGTCTATGAGTCTGCTTCTGTTTTCCATAGTGGCTGCACCAACTTGCAATCCTACCAACAGTACACAAGACTTCCCTTTTCTCCACATCCTTGTCAACACGTGTTGTTTGTTGATTTATTGGTGATAGCTATTTCAACAGGTATGAAGTGCTATCTCATTGTGGTTTTAATTTGCCTTTTTCTGATGAGTAGTGACATTGAGCATCTTTTCATATGTCTGCTGGCTATCTGTATGTCCTCTTTGGAGAAATCTCTATTCAGGTCCTCTACTAATTTTTAATTGGATTTTCAGTTCTTTTGGTGTTAAGTTGTATGAATTCTTTATATATCTTGGATACACACACACACACACACACACACACACACACACACACATAATCTGTCTGTCTGATGTATCATTGGTGAATATATTCTCCTGTTCAGTAGGTTGTCTTTTTGTTTGGTTGATGGTTTCCTTTGCAAAAATCCATTAGTGTCCCATTTTTTAATTTTTCTATTGCCTGAGGAGATGTAGCCAAAAAAATTACTAAAAGCAATGTCAGAGTTTATTGCCTATGTTTTCTTCTAGGAGTTTTATGGTTTCAGGTCTTACATTTAAGGCTTTAATCCATTTTGAGTTTGTGGTGTAAGAAAGTGGTTCACTTTTATTTTTTTGCATGAATCTGTCCAGTTTTCCCCAACACCATTTGTTGAAGAGACTGTCTTTATCCCATTGTATATTCTTGCCACCATTATTGTAGATTAATTGATCATAGAGGTGTGGATTTACTTCTGGGTGCTCTGTTCTGTTGATCTATGTGTCTGTTTTTATGCCAATACCATGCCGTTTTGATTACGATAATCTTGCAGTATAGTTGGCATGATACTTTCAACTTTGTTCTTCTTAAGATTGCTGTGGCTATTTGGTTGGGTCTTTTGTAGTTCCATATAAATTTTAGGATTATTTGTTCTAGTTCTGTGACAAATGCCATTGGTATTTTGATAGGGATTGCATTGAATCTATAAATTTTTTGGGTAGAAAGGCCATTTTAACGATGTCACTTATTCCTGTCCATGAGCACAGTATATGCTTCCATTTATTTATATCTTCTTCGATTTTTTTTTTTTTTTTTTTTTTTTACGTCCTTGGTTAAATTTATTCCTTGGTATTTTCTTTTTTGATACAGTTATAAATGCAGTTGTTTTCCTTTCCTCTTTGATAATTGATTTTTAGTGTATAAGAATTTAACCCATTTCTGAATATTAATTTTGTATCCTGCTACTTTACTGAGTTCATTTATCCATTATAATAGTTTTTTTTTTGGTGGAATCTTTAGAGTTCTCTATAGTATGTCATCTGCAAATAATAACAGTTTTACTTCTTCCTTTCCAATTTGGATGCCTTTTGTTTTTTCTTGTCTGATTGCTATGACTAGGACTTCCAATACTAGATTGAATAAAAATGGTGAAAGTGGACATGTTTGTCTTGTCCCTGCTCTTAAGGAAAATGCTTTTAGCCCTTCAGCATTGAGTATGATGTTAGCTGTGGGTTTGTCATATATGCCCTTTATTATGTTGAGGTATGTTCACTGTATTCCCACATTGCAGAGAGTTTTATCATAAATGGATGCTGGACATTGTCAGATGCTTTTTTGCACCTATTGATATGATCATAT